AGGCCAGAGGTCAGCATAGTGCGCGGGAGCGAGTGGCGGGAGCCGGCTGAAGGAGTCCGCTGGGACTGCCGCTGCCGCCTTTCGCCCGGCTCATTCCGCTCCGGGAGCGAGCGGAGCGCCAAATCCCCGGCCACCTCCCTTCCCGCACCTCATGGGCGCCATCGCGCCCCAGGTGCCACCTCCAGGGCCGTGCAGGGTCCTAACTTGTGGCTGTCGCCGGGTCCCTAACAGAGCCCAACGGACCGATAAGTGGTTCCCAACGTGCAGGTCCCTCTCCCCTGTCTGGCACCAGGAGACACCCTCGCGGCAGCCAAATACAAACAGCCGCGGGTTGCTGACAGTTCTGCTTGCAAGCGTCCTTTAAAAAGGAAGAGGGAGGAAGAGACCACAGGGGTGAAGAAAGAGTCCGCCCTCCCGGGTCGCGCCGCTGGAGCTAATCACCGCGGGCGCGGCGCGGGATGCGCGTCCTCTGCGCGCTCTGGTTCGCGCGTCACCTCCCCGGCCACCCCACCCTTCGCGCTCCCCGGGGCCTTGACTCTAAACTTGAGCGGGTCAGCCCCCGCCCCCAGCACCCGGGGTCCCCCCCGGCGCCTAGTACTGCGCAGAATGAGGCTGAGGGGTGCCGGACTCCTCCGTCTAGCTGCGCACCTTGGCTGGCGAGCTGGAGACGCTGCCTTTACTCTGTATGGATTTAATTTTTAAAAATTGAGTGCGGTGACTGAGTTTGTCATCCTTCTTTTGTTGCACAGACCCAGATTCCTTCCTAGGGCGCTATTCTAAGGGCTCAGTACCGATGAGGTCTTTTTTAGGGGTCGCCAACCTTGCACCTCCCTTTCCACCCTTTCACAAATGTGCACACACTTTCTCGCTCCTTCCCTCCCCCTAAGCCGGTGAAGAATCGCCAGTCACTTTCCTCAGCCGAGGGCGACTCGAAGAACCTCGGAGAGCACGCCTTCTCCGTGCGGGCCCGCAAAGGAAATAAAAGAGCAAAATTAATGATGGTTGAGCAGATCTGAACTTCTGTTCGGGCAAAGAAGCCCATTTATTTAAATGATGCGTCCCCTGTGTGCTGTTTTGGGGGCACTGGTCCTCCGGCGGCGAACGTTCCTGGTGTTCAGTGAAACCCGGGCTAACATCAAGCATTTATTTGTACTGCGTCCCGCACTCGCTCTCTTGGTTTACTGGCCTGTCTGAATGTGGTCATCGCATCTCAACCTATTTGGCAGACACACCGAATACCCGTGTCACCGATTCAGACGTTGGCAAGCAGAGCGAAACAAAAGGAACCGGCGGGCAAGTGTGTGGTCAGAAGTTTCTATCGCCACCTCGGCTTCCCCGACCTGCGCTGTGCCGCTAGAGAGAGGTTCTTGTTTAACCGTGAATACAACGATCTTTTAATATAAAAGTTAAGGGCTAATCTTGGTAAAGAATTACTTCTGACTTCTAACCTTAAATATTGAGATCATCTTCTAGTTATACGGCTAAAAATAGATGTCCAACGTTCCGCTTGCTAAGTACGACTGTGTAACTATTTAACTTTATTGCTCTCTTTAAAAAATAGATATTTGGGGAACAGTAGCAAGCTAATAAACTATCAAGTGAAACCACATTTAAGTTTAGGCAAAGAAATGATGGGATAGTTTTTCTTGACTTAATTTGAGCGTAAGAGAAATTGTTTTTGCAGAAGTTTCTTAGATACTGGGGTTTTATTCCCCCCCACCGCCGCAAAAAAAAAAGAATTCTTGCCAGGCTTAAAGGTTGCTTTTTTAAAAGTCCATTTGTTATGTTAGAAATGTTGTTTGGATTATTAATATATTCTGACCAGCTAAGGGGAAAAGTCATTTAGAACCACAGCAAAAGTAAGGTGTAATGAGCATAATAAGATGATAAAACTCAAAGACATGTTTACTGCTAATAACTTTCCCAGAACTACACCTCTTAAAATTACTTTTCTTAAAATTTAGAGGAATTTCATTACATCACAACTACATAAAGTTGTACAGCACCAAAAGTAACCTTAGCTAACCTCCCCAGGGTAGGGTTTCTCATTATCCAGCTGTTCTTTGATAGCATTAATATTTTAAAGAGTGATTTGTTGGCACTTACCTCCCATCAATTACATTCTCCGTGCCACAGTGGGCTTCTTTTCCTTAGAACACCAGCTATAATTAATTTCCTCATTCAAAGCCCAGTCTACTTGACTTATTTAGAGGGCAGTGCACCTAACCTACATTTACTTGGATGATATTTATTAATGAAAATAACCAAGCCTCAATTATTTGACACTCCGTAGATCTGACATGTGTGAACACTGAAACAACCATGTATTGTGCGTTCCTGTCTAGTTCCGGATCCAGAGCGCATGTAAAACCATCACCAATAATCAGCTCAAGGAGTTGACATAGGGAGAAATATATGTTTAGTTTCTGGTCCTAGAAGATCTCTGACTATACACTGGCAGTTCTTCACTTTAGAAGTCATGTTCTAAGACTTTGCCCATGGTAAGAGAAGGTTCGCCTTCTCTTTATAAACATCTGAAGTTATTTTGTTATTCTTTACTATATGAAGAGGAAGGAATTTAAAAGTCCTCAGAGACCCCACCCCCACCCCAAGACTCTAGGGAGAGAAACGGAGATAGAACATAAAGCTATAGTGTCTGGGGTATTTTGTAGAAGTTTTTGTTTCTGTTTTTATCTCAGGAACACAAATCCATATTTTGGTGAGGAACGCAATCACAAGAGATCATCTGTCCAGCTTAACTCTCTTGTGGCCCTGCCTCCAGGAAATTCTGTAGGAAATGAGTTAAGAATATGATGTCTGGGATTTGCTTTAATAAACACCAGCAAGGGAGGGGGCAGGAAAAAAAGAGAAGGAGGAAAGCAGAAAAAAGAACAAGGGCCATGATGGAAATGTGAAGATAGGATTGCTAAAAATGGTACACAACTGGCAGTGTCGGTCCACGCACTGGGTGAAGGGAATCTGAATAAAGGAAAGTCAATCTATTTTATATACAAATAAAAGTAACATAATTTTTGGTGGTGGTGCTGGGGATTGAACCAGGGATTCACCTACGGTAAAGGAGAGCTATGCCTGAAGTCCCATATGTTTTATAAAAATCAATGGGAATCTGTGCTACAGCCACATAAAACAGGCACTGAATCATATTTTTAAAACTTGTGTTCATTTCTCCCTGTTTTATATTCTTTGGAGCATAGTGAATGATTTGAGTAAAGGAAAGGCAAAGAAGAAAAATAGGACCTTGTGGATGCATCAGAAAGGGCTGGGGGTGGGGGGCAGGGGACTTAGCTCAGTGGTGCCACAGCCTGCCTGGCAAGCAAAAGGTCCTGAGTTCGATCCTGAGTACCAAAGACAAAACAAACAGAGAGAGAGAAAGAAAGAGAGGAGAGGCAAGGCTGGGAACCAAATAACTAAGGAATGGCCAAAGGAATGCCTCAAAGGGGAAGGGATAATTCACTTTGACTTTGGAAGTCCCCTTCAGCTCATTTGGACTCAAAAACAAAATAGAACAGTTTTTCAACCCTTCCTCGCATTCTTTCCTGGAATGATTTGTTATCACCAACCTTGCTTTAATTACTTTGCCAGTGACTTAATGGAATTCTCTTCCTTGGGTTACTTTACTATAAATTTCTTGTTCCAAGCTGATGTTAATCTTGGTTACATGAAAGATTCTTTTCCTTAAATTTGGTTTAGCATTTATTTATCCCTAGAGAACAGTGAGGTGCCCAGAATTATGGGAGTATACTCAGGCCCTGGCAACCTAGTCCAAGTCAAATCCCTTCTCTTGCCCTATGTATTGTCCAGCCTCATTTTCTTCATTTACAGAAAGGAGGTGTTAGCTGGACAGAGTGGTGCACACCTGTAATCTCAGCACTCTTAAGAGGCTGAGGCAGGAAGATCTCGAGTTTGAGCCCAGCCTGGACAATTTAGGGAGTTGTCTCAAAATTTAAAAGGAGATGTGACTCAGAGTGAAGGCCCTGGATTCAGTCCGAGGGAGGTGAGACCTAGGGATCCTGTTAAAACAGATTTTGATGCATATGATCTCTGGTGGGGCCTGAGATTCCATGTTTCTAATGAGTTCTCAGTTAATGAGGTAATACCATGGCTGCTGGACTAAAGAACATACTCTGAGTCCTTCTGGCTTTTCGCTGCTCTCGTCCCCAGCCAAAGGGATGTACAACTAAACCCAAAGGGACAGGTCCACCACCTTCCTTTCTATACCATTCTCTGGGACTGGTTGAGAACACACTGCATCTGAGTGACATGGTTTCACACCACGTAAACTGCAGCAGAGGCGCGTTTCCAGGGCGGAGTATATGGAGTCCACTCCTGAGGACTCGGGTGAGCTGTCCAGTCAGTCGGCATTGTCAGAGCCGGACAGTCACCATCTCCACCCCTATGGAGACACTGGTCACATTACCCAGGAGGATAGGGCTATGACAGAGATGTACGTGGCCCCGCAAGAGAAAGAATACTGTGGTTTTGAGTCAGACAAGGACAGATTTGAGGGTTCCTCTCCGGACCACATCACCTTTAAGGTCATTTCAGCTTACTGAACCTCAGATTCCCATTCTCTAAAATGAGGGACTTGGGAGCAAACAATCCCTACCTCGAAAGATTGCTGTCAGGGCCCCAGTAACATCCATAGCCCGAAACAGAGTTGGAGTTTCATAACCCGTATTACTACCCTCCCCCAGCTGATTTGA